CTTGTATTTTTTCCTCTTCTGTCGAGGTTTTTAGCATTTTTTCCTGGCGCTCAGACTAGCAAAAGGAAAAATTGAAGAGTTGTCTAAATAACATTTTAGTAAGTGCATACCATATGCTCGTAAGCGCTGACAGTTTGAAATCTGGCAGTCCAGACTCCCAGAAGAGTAATAAATACCTGAGTGCACAGATCTTGCTATTCTACAGCTGGTAAGTAAACGGAGTACTCAGAGGTGGTGCGAAAGGGGGCTGTACGACAAGAGCACAGAAGAGGTTCCCTAAAGCAGAGCAGGCTCCTGGGTGCGCTGGAGCCGGGGGCCAGCCCTCAGGCACCGCGGCCGTCCCTCCTGCAGAATCAGAGAAGCAGGCAAACTACAGGTCTGAGTTTCCTTAACTGAGCAGCTGGCAGATCTCCTTGTGAACACAGCATAAGAAATCCACGTAAGATGCTCCTCCATAAATACCCTTGTCTTCTACTAGGAACTGTCGGAAAAACATCTCTGGCTGCTCCCGCTGTTTCACTATCATCAGCTGAAAAGAGGAGAGAATACCCATTTTTAGGACACAATCGCACTACGTGTCAGTAGAGTTTTCCTGTATTACTGTGTGCTGCTGAGGTGGGAGGGAGCCCCAAAGCTAACACATCTCCGCTTCTCAGTGGCTGCATTTCTGAACACAGGAGAGGGCAGCAAGTGCAAATTAAGGTTTGCACAGCAAAATGGTCCCTTTTGAACCTGACTGACTCTGAAAATCTCAAGAGTTAAGCACATTTGAGATGCTTGTGCCTACGCTGTGTGCTGGAACTCCCTAATGTACAGGAACATCACTGATCCACAATACCCTGTTCAGCTACTGGGGAGTTTGTTGAAGCAGGTCGTGTGTGAGGAACGAGGTGAGGCAGTGAGAAGTCTTACCTTCATGGCGTAGGGCTTCTGGCTCTGGATGCGCTCCAGGATTGACTTCAGTTTCTTAGACAAGGGATTGTCCAGGTCAGGCAGTGATGTCTGTCAGAATGAACGTGGGGCAGGTCGTTAATCCCAGTCCCATCTCTTTGGAGTGCGTACATTGACTAGCTGCCCCTACTTGGGATGCAGGTTACTGGGAAAGGCCAAGGCCTTGCACAAAAGGAGGTGTCTCACCTTACGGACTCCCCTAAACCATTATCAGTTCAGATTTTTAGTTTATGTATCAGATATTTTTGGTGGATGTACCAGATTGTATCAGGTTTTTAGTTTAGGTTTCAGTCTGTATCAGATTTTTTGTTGATTCAGAAATGTGCAAGCTTCCTGCCCCTGAAGTGCTGAGGGTGTAAAAGCTTAGTGTTACTTCTCTAGCTGCACCTTCTGTCTCTGCTTTCATCATGCAACTGAATCATTTGTTTCTCTGATTAGCAGTCTGCTCTTACTAAATCCGTTCTGAGGAAGGGCCCAGACCCATGTACTCACAGCCTCCGTGCTGATGTGTGCGAAGGACGGCACGTTGAAGAGGCCCTGGATGAGTTCGGGGGGTGTGCTGACTCCCAGCCACAGGAACATGCTCAGGCCGTTGGCCAGAAGGAAGGCCCCTCCTTCTGCGAGACGGTCCTCAGAGCAGCGGACGGCAGCTGGGACAGTGTCGCTCTTCAGGTCCAGGCTGTGCTGGGGGGCAGAAATACACAAGAGTTAGCGATTCGGAGACTTAAAGGTGACTCAGGCTTTAAGGGTACTGAAAAGTGATGACGGAAAGGCTGAGTACAGCGCAGTGGTTCCTTTCCAGGTCAGAGGAATTGGAAATCAAAGCTCCTCCTTTCCAGCTGACGCTCTGTGTGCAAGGGAAGACCTGCCATACGTGGGCAGACACCTGCATCCCAGTGTTGATCTTCAGTGCAGCTGGCAAAGCCTCGTTACAAGTACAGTGAGATGTCATCAACTGACAGTGTTAGTTCTCTGTTTTCCATTAAACCACAGGCTCCACCTATGCTTCTCAATTGAGTTCAGCCACCACCTACATCACAGTAAAAATGTAACCCAGTGTGGCAGTGTCACACTTGCCCAGCAAACAATCTTCTCTGCATGGGCACAATTACAGAATCACAGCTTTACTGCAGCGGAGGCCACGTGCAAGCAGTGTACTCACAATGGGCAGCAGCTGGGGATAGAACAAGAGCTGGGTGTCAGCGACCCCCATGGCCATGACCAGCTGTCTGTGGTAAGCTCTCTCATCCGTTGGGATTTCTGGTCTGCCAGTGAGCACGCAGCTCTTCAACAGGCAGTTCATGTACACCGGCAGCACCTTCATCGCGTCCGGGAGGATGAGCTGAGAAGCAGAGAAAGCTTGTTACATAACACACCCACCTGCTGGGGAACCAGAGCTGCGCTTCCAAAGAGCTAAATAAACCACTGCTCGTCATCTTTGAGTAAGGAGAAAAAAAAACACTAGAAAACTTGTTTGTAATGTTGTTCCAACCCAGACACGATAGCACTGAATTGTTAATACATTTTAATGAGAATTCCACAGATGTGACTGGCCTTACAGCCTGTAGTTGTTGTCTTGGATGGCATTATCTTCCCCCTAAGCCATGCTCATTTTTGGGTACTAAATTAAAGGGGAGGCATGTGGGAAGAGGGGGTATTTTTTTCTTGGAACAATGTAGGAGGGAAATGAGGGTTCACAGTAAGTGCCTCTTTGTATGGGTTCTGGCAGGTTTGGTCCCCACTAACACGACACAATTGACCGGAAGCATGGCATGGTATGTGAAGCCTTAGTCTTTCTCTGCGCTGCATCCCCAGGGCGTAAGGGTGAGTAATTGGACTGTTTCACTGGAGCACTGCCTTTTAAGTCATATAATGTGTTAATAATCCTAATCTATATGCTACATTCCAGAAGAAGGAAAAAATTGGAAAATAACAGTTTAAAGGAGACCAAGGGAACGAATCTAGATGAGACGCCTCTGGCGCTGTCAGAGCCCTCTGGCTTCCCTGTTAACCTTCTGCGTTCATGTACCAATTCTCATTCAAGGCAGGGTCAGCAAGCCCACCCTTCTGCTAGCTTTTGAAGTGCCTCAAAATCTGAAGGAGATAGATAGGGAAGTGTTTTGAGCTGGAAGAAAAACAGAAGCTAAATTCAAATGCTTACGGAACTTAAATTCAAGTTCAGCCATCTATGGCTGCCATAGCATCTGAAAGCACCTCCCTGTTGGTTCAGTCAGACCTCCCCCATGGTCTGAATATACAAAAGAATGGAGGTGTCTTAAGTTCAAAAACGTAAGCAATCAGGTTCCTAGACCTGCTTACTGCCCTTTGGTAAATAAAGGAGTTAACAGGCTGTTACCTTAATCACCATGGATTTTTTCCCCTTTGGAGTTTGGCCCCATGGAGGCACTGATCACTCCAGCACACTTGAGACACCTACATGCAAATTCAGGTTGTGTACTAAGAAACAATGTTCTTTTCACTTTCTGACAATAAGAATCTTTCTTGCTTGTCAAAAATGAGGATACTAAAATCTTCACAACATAAGAAGGGAATACAAAAGTGGCGTGAGTCAGCACGTCATTCTACCAGGAAGAAAAAGGCTGTTTAAGCTCCATCCAGTGAATACTCATCGGTTTCCTCAGCAGCACTGCCATTTGTTCCAGAACAACAACCTCCCTTCTCTGTAACTGGTACCACCGAATCCCACCTCCCATTATTTGTGCGTGAAAGGGAAAAGGCTGCCCTGGACTTTTCCTTCCTGGCACTGCTGATGGTGCAGGGGTGGTGGTTCAGCTGCTGCCAAGCCCGGCTGGGGAGGTCTGAGCTTACCTGGCTTGCTGCTGACGGGCTGGCGCAGTTCTTCCTGTAACACGCCAGCATGTGAGCTGTCTGGTTCACCAGGATCTCGCGGACCGTCTTCAGTGGCTGGCTTAGAATGGCTTTAAAAGCTACAGATGCAGATGAATAAAAGAGCGTGCTAAGGATGGGGACATAATGTGTCTGCACTGCTAGCTTCTAGTCTTGCTAACCCAAGGTCTCTGGCTGCTTTTCAGTCTTTTTCTACAGACAGCATCTCGGAGGATGTTTATTCATCCTGCCCAAACCCCGCCCCCACCTCCAGCACTATGACAGGATGTCCGTTTCCCACTACCGTGCGGTTTTGTGCATCGCAGGTTTCTGGCTACCTTCACAAGCACTACTTCTACGGCAGTACGTCTAAAGTAGGTCAGCTAGCTGTCACTGCCCTTTTGTAATACTTGTAGAGCTGCTCAGGCCTGGAGCAGCAAGTTCAAAACACGGTTTCCCACCAGGTCATCACTTCAACACCCCTTCCTTCCCCTTCCTCCACCCCCAAAGCAGAAAGAAACAGAATTGGTCTGTTACAGCTTTACCTGACTTGGCAAAGAAGTTGATAAGCGCATCAGTCTCACAAGTCTTGTAGACATCGGCCAACTGGGAGCTGCAGTTTAAACCTATGTTGTGTATGCGAAGCCGCCTGTGCCCGCTTACTGACGTGTAAAGGACAGCACACTGCAACAGAGGAGCACGGTACCGTTTAGCTTCATTTTAAGGGAAAAAGCTGCTGCCATGCAAAAGCCACCTATGCCGTGTGCAGAAAAGGCACATAAGTATTTTTGAAGACAGCGTAGCCTTGCAGTGCTGCTTCATGCTTCTGTCATCTCTAGGGCCAACACACCTGTATCTCTTAGGGAAGTAGTTAGACAATGTAAAAGTTACTAATCTTAAAGTTATAAAAACCACTACTGTGACTGACCGAAAGGCTTATTTCTTTTGGTACACACTGCTGGTGTCACCAGAAGAAACGGCAGACTGCACATCTGTAAATGCTGCTATGCAATTGCATAACATCGAACCGTTGAAATAAACGCATCTGAAGAGACGCCGCACAAGAGATGAGAAGCTTGTGGAGAGGTATTGTGCCCGTCACACTGTCTCTTGGCAAAAAGAGCTCAGAAAAGCTTCCTGATCTTGAAAAGCTGAGTGGTTCTTTTTACGTAAGTCGCTTATGAAGTGAAACAAGAGGCCCTGCTAACCCCTGTATGCTGCCTTGCCATGGGCGTGGGTATTGGAGATGGAGGGTGGAATGTCAGAATTCCCTTACGACTCCAGTTCTACCTCACTGTAGAGCAGACACTTTAGTGTAGGATATGATCCAAAGCCTGCCTGTGGGATGCCTTTGTTCCTACCAAAAGGGGTGTCACCACAAGTCTGCTGGCAGTTCATGCAGAGAACTACCAACTGTTGCCTAAGTGGCATTTCCAGGAGCTGCTGCTGAGCTCCCATGTGGGCTGAGGTGGGAAGCAAGGAGTGAACTAGCTCTGGCAGGAAGGCAGCTCCTGGTGGAGCAGGCCAGCCCACTGACAGTTTGCAAGCGGGAACATGGGTGGCACAGGTACCACTGCCGGGGTCTGGAGCAGTCCCGAGGGTGGGAAGGGATGTTTAGCAGCAGAGGATGGCTCTTGAGCAGGGGTGTCACACGGAACGCCGCAGCAGTAATAGTTTCCGTGTAAGAAGTAATGAATCTTGTACTCCAAATAAGTTTATTTAGTCAACCAGAAAAAGTAATAGCTGATGAGGTCTTGGTGAGTGTTCAGTTAATTAAAATCTTATTTCATTAGTATTATGTCACAAGAGTCTGTGCAAGCCGTGCCTTGCTCCCATCAGCCCTACACCCTAACTTCTTTCTGTTCAGCTGCAGAAGTTGTTACTCACGATTTTGTGACATGACATGTAATTAAGTTTTTTACCTGAATTAAGGCTCCAGTGTCCTCATTCAGTTTGTCATCATGTTTGAACTCCACTGTCACCGCCTTGTCACAGTCAACTGCTGCCATCTCTACGTCTGTGGTGTTGTTCATGTAAATAGCACCGAAAAAGTCCGTAGCCCTGAAGCCTACAGCCACGTCAAAACAAAACAAACGTATCATTTACAAACGGCACGGAAATGTGACATTATTTGTGACTTCCTTTCTACGGCCAGTCAGTTTTGCTTACTGAAACAGGACCCGCTTTCCCCCTGGGATCTCCTCCTCAGGGGGCCCCAGCAACTGTCCTAGCCAATGGCATTTTTTGACGGTGGGCAAGAGGGAGAAGTTGACAGGCCATGAAGCTGCGCTGTGACTGAGACCACCCAGAGCCTTCTGCACTGTTGACCTGGCCGCTTTGTGCATGTCTGCTTGTCGAACGCTCGCACATGAGGTAAGAATGAACAAGAAGCAGACACCGTAGTGTCATGCAAATATGAAAATGAAACTGGTGAGTGCCCAGCGGCAACAATTCCACGAGTCTGCAATCCAAGATGTGTGCATAATGGTCAGAAACCTTACTCGTCTTTGAGCCATGGAATCATAGAGTTGTTCTGGTTGGAAAAGACCTTGAAGATCATTGAGTCCAACCATCAGTGTCGTTCTTAGAGACGTACACAGGAAGGACCTGCTTGTGCATTTTACCCGTCCGTCCAGTTCCTTTCCAAGAGGCACATGATGCAGTTCCATCATCTGCACCACAGAGTTACTCGAGGTGCCACACCGTCCCATGCACTCGTGCATATTCTCAGTCCCTGCAGGTGCCATTACCTGTACTTGTCCGAACCCTCATTATTGCATCAAATCCGGTCTTTTTTTCCACATCCTTCCTGAGGTCACTGAGGAACTGCGGGCTGTCCGCATCCAGCTAGAGACGCAAGGCAGAAGCAGAGTTGCAGTTTGCCACTGGGTGTCAGCAACACCGCAGAAACCCAGCCCTTCCCCTCCCTGTCCCGCCACCGCCCCCTCGCCTGCCCCTCCTTTCCCCCCCACTCCGAAACATGTTCTTGGCACATGTGACATCTCTCCTTTCCTTTAAAGGGAGACACAGAAATGTGGACTGCTGTTTCGTTAACAGAGACAGGCAAGTGTCCACCGATTCATCATTAGGCTGGGCCATCCGAGTCCTCTGCACTTAACACCCGGTCCGGCCCTCCGCCCTGCAGCCCAGCTCCGACCCTACAGCGCAGCCTTAAGGATGAAGTAGCCCCGCTGAGGTCACGTCCCGACACACAGAACCTCCCGGCTCCCTAGAGAGATTCTGGTGCAATTTTAAACAAGCAAGGGTTGTTACGGCCTTTTTCTGGGTCTTTGTCACAAGCATTTTATCTGTATATACAGGAGTTCCCTGCTCACATGCCAGCAGGTTTAAGTCAATGGATTTAAGATACCAACCAGCTTATTACTGTTTCAAGGTTCCTATTTGAGCCTGATCAGTCACTTTGAAGTTTGGATTTTATCCCCTGGAGTTCCTAAGTAACTCTTGTAGAGTCACTCTGCTGCTGCGTTTAACGGCGAAGCGCATGCTGGAACGAAACCAGCAAACCCCCGGGTGTTAGGATGTGAGAGGCAGGAACCCTGCAGCACGTACCTGGAAGTTGTTGTACTTGTAGAGCGTTCCCCCAGTGTACATTGTGACGAGACCCATGGAGGCCACGTCCACGTGCTGATTTGGGAAGAGGAACAAATTGACGCAGCAGCCGTTAGCCACACAGTCCCTGGCCAAGGCCTCGTAAGTAGCGTCTGCAGGGAATTAAAACACACAAGTGTCCTGACATTAGACACCGTTGGCAGCCAACCCCTGCCCGAATGCCTGCTTGAAGAGAAGGAGAAGTTGCAGGTGAGGCGTGGATTCCATGAAAACACGCCACCCTGCCCGCGCACCCCTCTGTGGGGAACCTGCTCAGTACTCTCTTGGAGAACTCGAGCACTGCAGGGGCAGGCAGCACAGGCGCTTGATGGGTGGAATTACGTGCTGCTGGAGGGTTTCCCTTACTGCTGGGAAGGGCTGCTGTACCGTAGTTTGGCTTCGGTGTTCCTGCAGGGCCATACCAACAAACCCACGTAATGGGGGGCACGGCGAGAGCAGGCATGTTATATAATCAAACACCACATCCTTGTTAAAGAAAAAAAATTTTAAAATATCACGTCTCTGCTAGAGAAATTCAGTGTAACAGCAGTCCCTTGTTAACTCAGAGTAGAAAATACCTTTTCTTTATCCGTATTGAGCAGTTTTTTGTCATCTCTGTTTCTCAGCTTCCCTGGTGCTTCCGCAGTTGGCAGTGAAGAATGGAAGATAAACAATTTTCCCGCACATTCTGCAGCCTGTTTCAAAGACACCACATTGGCATATTGGTTACTGCTAAGACAAACAAGCCTGATCTTCATGCACTGTGGTATCTCAGAGAACAGCGTCAACTTCCTGCAAGCTCCCCAGAGGTAAATAATCCATGTAGACACTCAAAACTTGATGGAAATAAGCCCCAGAGCAAACTGGGAGTTTTATGTCCGTAAATAACGCACAGATATGTTGGCTGATGCATTGTTACAGTAATTTCTACATGGGAATCTAAAATCTTGAAGGAGTACCTCTCTTGGAGACTTTCCAACTGGGTACAAGCATTATGCAGCAAGAAACGAGTATCAAAATTACAAATACTAAATTAGACAAAAGGCAACGTAATTTAACAGAAAAATCATTTCTTTAGATCCAGGCACACACGTGTTCACTACATTTTTATAGACAAGTGAGGATTACACATTCCTGTACTTGATGCCACATTCACATCTACACTAAAACGCAGGAGTATGAAAACCTGGGAGGAACATTTCCTCCTGTCACTAAGAAATTAACTACTGCCAGCTTTATGCAAGTTTTCTGTTCTTACTTAGAAGTCTAGTGAGAACGTGGTATTTACTGAGCTGACAAACCGCTGAGGGAAAACCCTGAATCTCAGAGAACAAAGGAACACCAGCAGCAGTACCGCAGGCACTTCTGTGTTAACGAGCTTTTGTATCAAAGTTTAGAAAATCCAGCTTATTGCTTCCTCTGGCTACTGAGACAGCTGGTGGAAGCAAACCAAACAGCTGGAAGGGACCGACAAGGACCTCCTCGTCCAGCTGCCTGAGCAGGGCTGACCAAAAGTTACAGCTGAGTGAAAGAAACCTCATCAGCAATTCTGAGGTCTTAGGGTACTGGAGAAGTTGGGTGAATGTGAACGGAAGGAAGGAGGAAAGAGGGATTTGTCCTTTTCCTGCTCCAGACTTAACCACACATCCAGGTTAAAACTGCAATATACTCAGGACGACAGGCACCCATTGGTTTTGGTTCTCTTTCTCCTCCGCATCTGAGGATGTTCACAGGATAAAGGTATTCCACCTTTCAAAATAAGCTGCGGCATTCTTCTAGGAAAACTGGAAATGTCTTTGCTGTGGCCAAAATGCAACCGAAGACAGTATCTTACCTTTCACAGAGCTGACGTTCCACCCTCATATTTCAAGCATATTATCTTTAATCACAACTGCCAATTTCTTCAGTTCTGCTGAAGACCGAGCCTTACCAAATGCCTCTTTGTCATGACACGCGTCAGGAATCACCGACATCACTTTCAAAAAATTCTATAAAACGCCTATATATTATTTCTAAAAGTGTATTAATCTCAAATAGGAACACCATTCATTTTATTCTTTTTAGACAAGAACTGTGTTCTTGAGCGCAGGAATATGCAAAATAATAATCCACAGTGAAAATCCTTATGAATTTTAACTTTAAAATAGTGAGCTAAATGGAACGCTGAATTAAGAGCAGCTTTCTTTTACAGGCAGCTGCAAAGTTATGCCTTGCAGTTACGGCCCTTCCGTTTGCCTCGTACAAGTGCTGGGGAAGAGCATTCCGACGGAAGCGGTAACCAAAGGTACGCTTTGCACGCATCCCTTCGGGCAGTACGAATAAATAACAGGAAAACGGGTATTAATTAAATATTTCAGAAATAGATTTGAGAACTGTTGTGCATTTTCATTCAGTGAATTACCCCAAGATCATTCTTTACTTATTCGCAGATAAATCAACTGTTTTAACACATCACTGGCTGCTTCCTGCCCCTACAGATCTCTGCCGAACTGTGGTGGCATTCTTTTAACTGGCAGCGCTCCACGGAAACGTCAGCACTTGAGGGGATGTCCTGGACATTCGGAAGGCAACTGGGGATGCATCTTGACTTGTGTCAGTTAAGCGGAAACCCTCCAACCCCCTGCCCGAGTCAGTCAGTCACAGTCACAAATACCTCGTCGTGCACAAGCAGTCAGCAGAAGCAGAACAGGCAGGGTAAGACGGCATCTTGCACACACTGCCCTTCACACCTGCAAGGACTGGTGTCGGTGCAAACACCCAGAGTACTGACTGCAGTAACTAAACACCATTTCTCTCAAATGCCGAACAAGAAACCGACTCCTGCTCCTCACCTTCTCCTAAACATCCATTCTATGTGGAATAGACTCTAGGGACTGGTTTCCCTAAGCAAAATCTGGAAACAGATGTGCTTGTCAGTGTTCTCTTTCTGACTAAAGCAGTTCGAAGGTACTGTTAGAATAACAGAACGTTAGTGCTGGAAACAATCAGCGACTTTTTTTTTCTAATTCCCCATTGTAGGAGGGAGGACTTGGGGCTGGCTTTTAGCAAACGGAATTTTCTGCAGCTTATCAAGCCTTAGTCTCATTAAAGAGATGCCTCTGGTACAGAGGGGAACATTCTGACCTTTAGGGCCTCCATGCCAGCTTGGATAACAGGAGCGAAGATGGTCTCACTCTCGTTAGTGTCCGCAAACATCTCTGGAATCTGGTCCAACAAGCTAGGAAAGAGGAAAGGATCAGTGACTCAACCAGTTAGCATATCTGGAATAATCCCCCAGCATCATACCAAGTCTTCACATAGGAAAAGGTACATTTTAAAAAGTAGGCATTTTGACTGCTAATTTTCTCATGATTCAAGCCAGAATAAAACAAAATATGATTTTTTGAATTGTAGGAGATTCATTATTTCAAAGCTGGTAACATTAAACATTGAAGCAACCTACTTAACTTAGGGTGAGACGTCACAAAACCAGCAACAAAAACCAGCTAAGCCCTAAGGAGTTGTCATGTGCTGTGGGGACTTCAGCGCCCTGAAGTCATATGCAGGAGTGCCTCACATACGTCGCAAGAGGAAATCCAGGCAACCACAGCCACAGCGTCCTCCCGTTTTCCAAGCAGCACAGCTGAAGCTGCATGGTTCGCACCTGGCCTAAATACGCTCTCCAACCCAGCACGGGGGGTTGCTGACAGCACTTTTTCTTTGCCTCAGAGGTGGAAATACACCACCTGAAGCATCTGCTGCCTTCTAAAATATTTCAATAAATACACGTACCCCCTCAAACCAACTAACACAGATGATGAAAAGGCATCATACGTATCGTTAGATCTTAATCACACATGGAATAAGTATACTTTACTTGATAACAACAGATCGTGATTCCTGGAAGTTGACAAGGAAACCATCCAGCAAAGGAACAAAAACTTCTCCGACATCTGAGACCACCATCATCTGAGGCTGAGCTAAGCTGCTTTTTACATTAAAGAAGTGGAGGACCTTGTTATAGGTGACAAAACCAACTCGAATCGCTGAGGATTCTTCTTGCTCTTCTCTGTAAGAAAACACCACCAGACTGGTTATAATTCTGACATTCTGACCTGGCAATAACAGCATTACTTTGAAAGGCAAGGCTGCTTCCAGATCCTCATCTGAAAGGGGGTGTGCATTGGGTTGGAGCAACAAAGCAAACAACAACCAAACAGATGTAATGACCTCGATCTTTGCCAGAGGTCAAATTAAAACACCCTGATAAAAATCAACTGCTGTATTATTTACCCCTTTTTTTTTTTTTTAAATATGTATTTACATCAGCCCTACCAGCTGTGTATCCTACCCAAGCAGTCAGAAGTCCCTAAGGTAAAGGATAAACCACACTCTGCTCCAAACACACAAAGGACAATTACTTGTGAGGTACAATCAGAAAACAGGCTTTCTTTAGAACACATCATAATTCAGTGACACTAATGATGGATGTCTAGTAAGAATAGTGACTGGGAACTCAGGATAGTGAGTTCCCAGCCAGCCAAAGCTGGCCAACTGCTGTGGCTGTGCCCGAGGAACACCGGTTGTGCAGGGGTAACGCTCCAAGCAGCAGCCCACCCTGCCATTAGTACTAGTTAGACCCTTACCAGACGAGCTCTTCCGTAAAACGCAACCCTATTCCAAAAATTGGTCTAATTACTAACAAAATAGCACCTTCTTGTGCCAGGATGTTCCTCCCGTAAATGACAACCCTTTAGCACAAAAAATGCCAGATGTGTCACTAGCAGTTGCTGCAGGTCAGCCCATACGCTCCGTGCAGCAACACTGAACGTTTGAGCAATCCGCCTAACTTTTGGTGAGGGGTCACAAAACCAACGAAGACCGAGCCTGTGTTCCAATGCTTTGGCGTGTTTTGTATGTTTGAGAAGAAAGAGATTCATATTCGAAGTACTGAAACTTCAAACATTCAGTCAATTCCCAGCTCCCCGATTCAATTTATAAACTGAAAGGAAATTATTTAATTGCTCTGTGCCTCAGTTTCTGTTAGTAAAAGGGGAGCAGCAAGAGTTATTCTCCAATCTAACCTGGATGTAGGACTATGTACCACAAAGTTCTTTGAGACTGCGGCAATGGAAACCACAGAAACACCAAAAGAATTCAGTAACAGAGCCCTACCACAGTATTTCCAAGTACTAGGCCCCTAGGGCAAAAAACCTACTATTCATCCTTGACTCCAACCTCTGAGGACATGCAGGAGTCACCCTGAGCCTGCACCACAGTAAAGCAGCCAGGGTTTGTAAGTATTTCTCCTCCTAAGGAGTGTAAAGCCTTGGCCCCACCACAGTCAATGGCAAGGCCTCTACTGAAATGGAGGGCAAGGCCTCCATCCTGTTCCACAGCAACCAACAGATTGCATTTCACGAGTTCACAAATGCTTGCAGAATCAGAAGTCAGACTAAAGGGGAGAAAACAACACAAATATACTACTACTGCGATCCTTGCTTACGTTTTCCTACAGCAAATAGTAAAAAACCTGACAGCCTTTTTCCTGGCGATCACATCTGCATGTCTCCAGAGAAAGAAAAGACAGTGTCACTGGCAGTTGCACAAGCTTCATCGAAAACCTTGAGCTTGGGAGAGAAATAATTCTTATTGTCTACAATCTTCAACTCCCGTGTCAGTCTAGAATGTTAATCTACCATTCCTGTTTCATGAGAACACAGCTGGGCAAGAAAGGGGCTACTCGGACCCAACGCTAATCAATATGCTATACTGAACACACTCCATGAGGAAACATTTTCCTCCAAGATACGCTAACTCAAACAGATGCATTGTTTCTGAATGTGAATTTCCAGTCTTTCCCAGTGCTCAGACACTACTGTCTTAGTAACACGACTAACAGGGAGCATTCAGGAGCTTGAGGAGGACAAGGTATTACTAACCTTCTGCACATACAGTACTTGCCTACTTCAAACAGGAGTATCCACACAATCCCAGCAGCCCCAAACCTGTTACTCAGCAGGTCTTTGGGGCAATTTTTTCAGATACTGCTCTTACCTGTGGCAGTCTGTACTGCCACACCACATCCGATTTCTGTCACCTCATGGTAACAGCAGAGTATGTTGGCAGGTGTCTTTTCTAGCAACAGAAAATTAAGAGTGACCACTGTGTCTCTGCATCAAGGTTTCACCACGAATTCTGACAGAATGCCTGATTTTTTTTTTCTTAATTAATATTGTTTAAAGACAACAGATGAGTCTGAAGAAACTCAAGAGCCTGTCCATTCTTTTCATTTTTTTAATTACTTTTTTCAGTGGACATGAAACTTGGGCCCTGCAAACAGATTATTCAGCAGCACATCTCTGCAGAGTGCTGGTAAGAAAAATTAATGCGTCTTTTTTTGTGATGCAGATACATTTGCTTTCATTTCTCAACTTCCCCTCTTCAAGCCTAAGAGTTTCTAAACTGCCTTTTTGTTACTACATGTGTGCCTTTTATTACCTTCAGAGTTATGACCAATCCTGAAGGAAAGCCCTGAGATACGTTCAGGATAACATCAAACGCTTGTGTCTCCAGTGCAGTCTTCAATGACAACGTACTCGAGAGATGGCCTTACATGGGCATCTTACAAGCTAACCCCCAACCCTGGACTGGAGTTTCTTTCATGCACAGAAATCCCGGAAGGATGTAGGATAACAGATTTTGAACACAGCCCAGATTATCTCAAGGATCTCATCTCCCAGCCTTCCTCACTTTGCTCTCTCCATTTCTTCAGTCTGTTCTCCCTCTGCAAGTATGTGGCATGCATTTTCTTTCTGTATGTGCTTCAGTGCTTTTATGTGCCTTTGCTGAAAAACCCCTTGCTGTTTAAGTTCTCAGTCTTTCACTGCTCTCTTTTAACAGTGTGTGCCTGCATTACTTCAACTTTAATGAAAACTATGCTAAATACACAAATAACATACTGCCATTAATACTGACCAGTAGTAATACTACTACTGGGTGTTCAGCGCTCACCAAGCAAATGTGCTGTATTACATTCATGTTTGTTGCCTACAAGATCTGTTCTCCTCTCAGATACCTATTAGGACAGAAAAGTCTCACAGCACAGCAAAAAAACTTCAGAAGTTTTGCTAACTAACAGTAAGAGCTGAAGACACAAGCCACCAACACTATGGCTTGAGAGAGACTCGCTGTTCTTGAGTGTTCTGGTTTTGGTATTTCCCTGTCTAATTCAAAGAGAAAGCAGCATTGCAGTAAGCAGAGCTACAGCAAGGAAAGGAAAGCTACAGGCTGGGACTTAGCTGATAATACCACTAGAGTTCACTACAAGAAAGGAAAAGAATGCACGCTACATGTGCAATTAGGAGGACAGATTCTTTCCATTCACTCAGTAAGCCCAGGCATCAAAGTTTAAGAACTGCCAGCAGTGTTAAAATTAACATTTGATCACTGTCACCCCCAAAATGTCTGTACTGTAAATTCTGACATTTCCTGTAGCTTGTTTTTACCTCCCAATATGCAAAGCTGCATGAAAACTGCAGTTTGGTGGGTAAAGCAAAGCACACTTATGTTTCTTTACCTTGGAAGCTTATCTAGCAGAGTCTTCAGTTCATCACATATGAGTTTAACCAGGCCACTGTTGACGTTTCTGTATGATACATCAATCATGAAGATATAAGCTGGTGGCTTTGGAGGCTTGTTGTTCTACAGGAAAAATGACCATTCACAGGGTGAATTAGACAGTGACCTGTTATGTCAAAAGAATGTACAGGTGGTACCACAAGGCAGTATCAGCGCAGTGTTCAGCTGAGTGAAAAATGCTATGGAGCATAAATAGTAACTACTGCAGGGAGCTGGTATGTATCGGGCAAAGACCATCCCTGGAATAAAACATTATTTCTGGAAAAGAGCATGCTTATGGAATTAAGTATGTAAAAGGTAACAGTTTATTAGAGAAGATGAAACACAAACGTTTTCTGCTGGAATTCAAGTGTTTAAACAAATTCTCCTTTTCCCTTTTTTCTGTACCCATACTGGTTTTGCATTCCTTGTATCACTACGCAATACCATTTTGTTAATAGGAACACTTAAATTCAGTTTGTGTTAGCATTTGCCTCTAACAACTGTCACATGCTTTCCAGCCAATCTGGAAACAGAAAATACAACTTTGGTACTGAACCAGAATTAAAATATCTCTGTTCTTAGCAGCACTAAGCGGTGATCATGTGCATCCTTGTCTGTCTGTCTTGCTGTCTCATGCTCCAGTGCATTCTGGACAACTGAACGGCACTTTCAGGAATAAGCTGGCTTTGTGTAAGACAATCAGAGAGTGAGAGTGGAACATTCAATGCATGTAACTGCTGCATATACAGCAGTGACTTGGGCTGCTACGGATAGAGTCTCTTACGAAGTCAGTGGCATGCAAATCAGGACACATGCTACCGATCAAGTTTCCATAAGTAAGAAACAGTAAGAGGTTGGAACTAGATGGATCTTTAAGGTCCCTTCCAACCCAAACCATTCTATGATTCTCTGATCCTTCGAGACACGCCCAGGAAGAGGATCATATGAAGTGAATACAGCAACAGTAATCATCCTACTCCCCAGGATCAGTTTTCCCAAATTTCTCTAATTCTTTTCCATTATACTGTTTCACAGCCTTCATATAGAGAGTTCAGACCACTTACCACATTATATGTGTTAGAATGAACCTCAGAAAACTCCGTTTCAGAAAAAAGGCATCTAACCCTTGAATGATGACTTCTCCGTAGTCCCTGGCACACTCTGAACTGAACGTGAGTGTATGCCCTTAATCTCAATTCACTTGACTCAAGCAAGTCATGCAAGCTTAGTCCTTGTGAACTCAAACCAGGCAGTGTTTTTAAAAGCTAACCTGTTACTGTACTTGGGTTCTGGTTTCAAAAACTGTATCAAACACCACTTCTGAACTCTCTTATAAACATTATTTATAAAGAATGCCTGCATAATTTCTAACAAATAGATGGTAGAAACAAGGACTTGTGTTCTTGCCACATCCGCTTAGCAGGAGCACGAGAATGCAAACCAGCTGTTATTTGTTAACATTTTTTGTAGCTGTTCATCCTTGTCATTTGATAAGCACAAAAGGAAATGACTTTTCAGTTCTGGTCTTAAACGGGATTTATACAAGAATTAAACTATTGCAACTTGAAGTAAAATGAAAAATGAATTGTAAAATAACGGTAACTTCTCTAAAACGTGAATGACTTTGCGTTGCTAGCGTGAGTGTTAATTCTCTGAGAGGTTTCTTTTTCGTAACATTCTGCAGTAAGCCTATGGATAGGTCTTGGCAACAAGAAGAGGATGCAGGATGTCCTACCAAGGAAAACAGCCTGATTTAAGCTACATGGCAAAAGCCACTACACTGAAAGCTGCATTGTGATGATGACTGTATCACACAGGGTTACACTCTGAAGTAGAGATAAAGAACTGTGAGAATGGCACACAGCCATTCAGTACACGAGTTTTCAAAAGTCTAGCTGCCAGAAATCAGCAAAGCTTAATCAAATTTGCTGGCGCTACACTGGATGTACACTAACTGAGGATCTCACACTATTTCTGTTAATGCCTCCCTGCAATTCTCTCCTGTTCTCAATAAAATAGGTCATCTCAGGGATTTCACTGGATTTTGGAGTAGTACCCCATTGAGAAAGCAGAATTAAACCTGTTCATTTTCTTCGCACCAGCAATAATCTGATGGTCTGGAGAAGTTACTGCTATCTACGTCAAGACTTTGTAGGATCCAACTGCCTTTTCTAACCTTATCATGACCTCAATTCCACCGACAGGAAGAAAACTGCCAGATTTCAGCAAGAACAGTAAAATATGTCCATACTGTACACAGATGAAGTCACCTCCAGTTTTGTAAAATGAGCTGAAGTTTGAAAAGTTTAAGTAATTTATGCTTTTGGAAGTATCAAATACAGTTCTCTAATAAAATCAACTACGAATATTTATGGTGAGTTGAGTGGACTTTGGATTAAGTTCTTCGTTGAGCTAATATTAGGAGAGATAATCCATCCCACTGTAACTAACTTACTGGTCAGAACATTAAAACTCCTCTTGACAGGATACAAGGTCAAATTCCCTTGCTAAGGTTTCCAGCACTGGGAAGGCAATTTAGGTATGTATCTGTTGTCAAAATCAACAGAAGACACACATCTAAAATGCAACACAGCCTCCGAATCCCAACTACATCCTCCGAACAGTGCAACATGCTAGGATCAAAGACTGGTGGTCCGTGGCTTTGCTATGGTATTGGTTACTCTTACCTGCCAGCCTCCTACTCTGCAGCACAAAAGAACAAAATATAATATTGTAAGCTTAAATTCTCCGCATCTATCTACATTTTTTAGAATGTTCCTGGACTCCAGTATTCAGCTTACACGTGCACTTGCGCTACTGTACAGATTAAAGGCATTTTTTGTTTTGAGCTAAAATGGTAAGTTAGTCTGCACACTGGAATACTCACTCGGCAATAATCCAAGGTAGCAACGTATTCGTAAGATCCCAGAGACAGCTCGGGCCTCTCATAGTGGTCTACCCGTCGGCCAATGTGGTCCAGGTGTTGAAAGAAGAATGGGGGGACTAAAAGCCAACACAAGACCAGAAAAAAAATGTTTGTATTTTGGGGAGGAGGGGAACAACCCAACAACTTCTTTCAATACAGTGTACTAACGTAGGCTCCTGTGTTGCTGATCAAGGGAAGAACTTAAACTCCTACCCCGGTTGCAACGAACCTTGCAGCTCTGCGAGGTTCACAGCCCTGGCCTACTGTACGGCAAAGAGCACGCGGTACACGACACTGGGAGCCTTCTGCAGCGACAGGTGAAAGCTGCAGAACTCCAAGGCATGAAGAAATCAGGTGCTTTGCCACCAACAATTTATATACAGCTAGTCTAATGGTTAGAGTCACGCCTTGGGATTTTCGCTCCTCTTTCCTCAATCAGTATGTATTTAGAATGCCTATTTTTCACATTTTTGCCTGTAAAAAGCACGTGTGCGAGAGTGGCGGTAATATCTACCTGGTTTGTTGGCCGTTTTTAGTACTCACTGAAGTTTTTTTAAAGCGCTTTCTGACTTGGGTAAAAGACAGTGTAGTAGTACAAAGCATGATTTAAAATGACACTGCAACTTCAAGGTCTTCAAATGTTCACAATGCATTTAAACTTCTCTTTGAAGAGTTTAAATTGCTAACAAACTGAAATCGATTATCTGCGATGCTTGCACAAACATTTGAGCGTCAGGCAGAAAAGTAGTTGGAACAGGCCTGTCAAGGTTCACATTTCAGAGTTGAAAAGATTACTGTATTAGGGAAAGCACTATGCTGCTGTAATCCAGCCGAGGAAATCCAACTTGATACAAATGTCTAGAAAGGCTGGTTCTGGCAAAGATTTGGGATTTAGCCAAGAGCACAAGAACAGTTATGAGTCACATGCAGCACACTTGAACAAATATGGCATGGTATCTTCTGTGAAAACCAACACTTGTCACAGGAAGATTAATAGGTTATTTAACCATTGCATCCACAGCCGTGGACAGGACTAGGCTAACATGGTTCTAAATATCTGGTTCTTGCTGGACATTGAGGCTTCTTAAAGAAATTTTTTTTTTTCCATACAAAAGTTGCTTTCAGTTAGCAATACAAGCGGTTTTGTTTCCTAGGTTAACATAGTATTTTTAACTGGACTTCATGAGTCAGCACTATTCTCCATATCTTTATCTTTTTAACTATACTGAACAGATGTTTCCAAGTATTTATCTTGGGGAGTATTTTTTTAATTTGTGAAACAGGCCTAGTTACTGCACCTCAGTAAACTATTTTCTCATCAAGTCAGCAAGTCAAGAAAATAGTTTTAGGGATACGGTTTCTTTTTATGGAATTTGTATGAATCGCAGATCAGAGAAACATCACTTACCATCATTTATACAACTGCAAAATCCACACTGGTATCTTCTCCCACCTTCAATAAACTGCATGAAGGGACACATATAAGCTTTGCAGCGGTTGCATCGGATTGGTCCAGTCTCACCATGGTTTACAACATAAAGAGGCGTCTAGATGAAGAGGTACATGAAGTTACAGAAAGCAATGCAAACTTGGAACCAAATAAAGCGAGCCAGAAAGCTACTGCCCAGACTGAACTCTGTTAGAGATCACTTGATCACGAGATCATTCATTGTTCATTCACCCCAAATCTGCAGTACGGTTGGCTCAAGCCCACAGATCCCGAGAAGTTCCATTTACAAGTTCCCAGGCCATATGGTGGCATGTGTCAGAAAGAGTAAGGATTCACACCAAAAGCCAAAGATTTGAAAGCATTGGATGTTTAGAGCTCCAGGCTGATTTTCCTCAGCACAGGCGTTTTACAGCTCACTAAGAGAAATCTGCTGGAGTCAGGTATTTTGTCTTCTCTGGCAGATTAAGCTTTTCCTGAAGAAATCTATTACTGCTTATCCATTGCAAATGGTCTCTCAAACAGGTATTTGCTAAGACAGCTTCTGATATTTTGTCCTCGATGCCGCCCCCCCATGCTGCCATGTTACATGCTACACCAACGCTTAAATGTTGTCAGGGTCATCAGCTAGAGTAGGAGATTTAGAAGAAATACTAATATTTATTGAAGGAAAGCACACACAGCAAACAAATACAGTATCTCGAGTGCTTGTCAGATTAATTACACTGACCGTGCTTGCCTACAGCCTCTGCCAAAAGCCACAGCTAATGGAAGACATTTTCCAGATGCCGCTTTCAGTAATAACTCTACAGCAATTGAAAGATTCCTGTGATTATACTTCATGTTAGAAAAGTCATACTTGAAACCACTACAAATATGGAAGCTTGCTCAATTATTCGTGAAACTCCATGCAGCATAAACATGTTTTGTATTTCTCTCTACTCCCTTCAATCCCAACTAAAAATCTCTGAATGTAAGAACATAAAAAGAACTTCAGAGTTCTGACATGTAGCAGATCTCTGCAAGAGGAGAAATGCTGACAGCCTTTGAATGCTAAAACATTACCACTAGCATATTCACTTAAACATAAAGTATGTCCATTCCATAACAAGAGACACAGTAATCTATTAAACACTTGATCTTTTTTTACTGGAGCATGAGTTTTTGAGTACCTAGAAAACCATTCATGTCCTTCTAGCATTTACTGCTTACATATATTTTATTGTTTGTTTATATTTTACAGAGACTGTTTTACTCATTTATGTTTCCAAATGGTTTAATGCTTTTGCCAAGGGTTTTATACATATAAGTAGATTTTTACTACATGGGTTTTAAGTGCTCCCTCCTGCTCCTCTGAGATATTTTTTGTTCTTTCTTCTACGAAAATTGACTTTTAACACAAATTAACTAATAATGTCAACTGGCAAATTATCAGGGTCATTTTGCAGACATGAAAGCTTTGGCTATAAAACCTGCCCATCAGCCACAATCACTTAATAAGTTTTAAAACTTCTGGGTTTTGTTCATTACTTGGCAATTTTCTGATTATCATTCTGCTGTATTAGTTTAACGAGGCCTGGATCTGCTCTGCAGTTCATATTATTATAGTACCTGACCCGGTAGGGGGAAAAGCCAAGACCAAAACAACTCCTGATGCATTTACACATATTGATTTAGTAATTTTAAACTTTGTTTTGATACATTTAATGTTATCCAAGAGCAAAGAAAATTACCCCTAAATGATCCTATTTTGAAATACCAAAATTAAGACTTTTACATAAAAAGCGTGACCAAGAACAGTCAAAAAATAAATGCCATGGAGTTCAGAGCCTAGGTGTCTACATTCTTACACATACTTAGTAAATTGACTTTTTAAAGACAGCAGAAATAAAAATAATGGGTATTTTTTCCTTTTCCTATTTGGAGTAGAAATTTTAGTTTTCTCCACCGTTTAACCTTCTTTGAAAAAAAAAAAATTGCTTACTACAAAGTCCTTTTTAAAACATGTGTTTAGAGCCTCAGTTAGCTTAAGGGTTATGTTTGCAAAGACTCCCAGGCACGTTTAACTTTCTGCATGACATGGTCATCTTGAAGTTACTGAGCCTGTGTGCAGCACATGAGGTTAAAACAAGTGCTCAAATCTTAAGAAAATAGTATCCACACGCAATGTTCCATAAACATACACTAGACTGGGTTCTGTTTTGTCTTGCCCAGAGGGAAAAAAAAGTTGAAACACCAATAAAATCACACTACAGAAGCTAGATTTTTTTTTCCTAATAAGCTTGCAGAAATTGAAAATCCCCATAAAGGGGAAAAAAATAAATCAGTGAAGCAATTCAATGCACGAACCAAACATGCATGCAGTAGAATTAAGGATTTTGTCTAACAAAGAAAAATTCCTGAAAAAAGCCCTGTGTGCAACTATATTGATTTATTCATTTGGAATTGTTTGAAATAAAACAGCATTTACATTTTTAGTATTTAAATAATTTAAAACATTACACATCTAAGGAAAAGAGCGATTTGCATGATGATTTCATAAAAGCACTTAGACCGAAACCATCCCAAACCCACTTCTTTGATGTGAACACCACAGTTGTCAAAGAAACTTCACCTCAAAAAGGCTGAGACCTTCCACAGCACTACACCACAAGACTAGACATTCTACCCACCAAGAGAACAGAATTTCTGCCTGGGTGTGTAAACTGCTATTGCATTTCCAACTGACAAAGTAACTTCCGTCAGGGTGAAGTAACAGTTTTTAAGAAATAGATAGATCTCGATGGGAATGTAGAGAGATAAGTTATATTGTACATGCATTAAAAAGCATAAGATAAAGTCGTCAAGTTTAAACTAATGAATACTGAATGGGAAAGTCTTGTTCGACGTGCTCTGCTCTCTGTAGATGTCACTGTGTACCAGAAGATAAAGCAGAGATCTGTTTATGGTCCCATGGAAGTCAGCAGCAATCTCACATAGAAGCAGGGGAATAAGATTAATTTTTGTTTGTTTCGGGTTTTTTTAACAAACGCAATACTCCTTTTCCTTTTGATTTTCTGCCTACAAAGCATCAGCCTTTCCTTTCTCTACTCTCTTAAATCTTTACCACTAATCAAGTCAGGTATCTACCGTAACTACTTGGGCACTTGCTACATTTGCTGCCTTGTTACGGCCTTACACCGCTGTTCCCCCTCATCTCTTCACAAACCTTTGTGCAGTTTACCTGTTCAGAGCACCTAATTGAGCACAGAGACAGTCCTCACAAAGGAACACTTAGGTACTGATTGTTGGCATTCCAGTACTATCAAACTATAAATATTTCTCAAAACCAATGACTGAACTAATACTTGGTAGCCTAAATCTGAACACGACACATAAAAGGGATTCTTTTTATGTAAGTGGGAAGAGCAGAGAGGCAGAAAGAATCCCTTGTGCTGGGAGGCAGCACATTATACTTTTTAGATTAAAGCAAAGAAGGATTGGGCAGAAGAAATGGGAAATCTACCTGGACTTGTACAAAGCCTTCGATACTGTCCCACACAACATCCTTGTCTCTAAACTGGAGAGACATGGATTTGACAGACGGACCACTCAATGGATGAAGAACTGGCTGGATGGCCGCACTCAGAGAGTGGTGGTCAACGGCTCGATGTCCGAGTGGAGATCGATGACAAGTGGCGTTCCTCAGGGGTCGGTGTTGGGACCTGAGCTGTTTAACATCTTTGTCGGTGACATGGATGACTGCATTGAGTGCACCCTCAGCAAGTTTGCCGATGACACCAAGCTGTGTGGCGCGGTCGACACGCTGGAGGGAAGGGATGCCATCCAGAGGGACCTGGACAGGCTGGAGAGCTGGGCCACTGTCAACCTCATGGAGTTTAACAAGGCCAAGTGCAAGGTCCTGCACCTGGGTCGGGGCAATCCCAAGCACAAGTACAGGCTGGGTGGAGAATGGATGGAGAGCAGCCCTGAGGAGAAGGACTTGGGGGTACTGGTGGATGAAAAGCTGGACATGAGCCGGCAGTGTGCG